GAGGTTGTGGAGCGGGCAGGTGAGAGTGTTGTTCCACTTGAGCCTGAGCTGCTGGGGAAGGTTGTTGGTTCCTCACCGAGGTCTGTGGTTGTGAGGGTGGCAGGTAACACCGTTTGGGTGGAGACAAGGCTGCCGGGGAATGCTGTAGATTCCTGAGTGAGTCCCAAGCTGGTGGTGACCTCAGTGAACAGTGTTGTGTGAGTTGAGGCTGGCAGGCTATGGAAGGTTGTGGATTCTTCCCCACGAATTGAGGTCGTGCTGCTGCCAGGGGACACTGTGTTTTCAGTTGAGCCTGGGCTGCTGTAGATGCCGCTGAGGGAGGTGGTCGATCACGAATTGAGGTCGTGCTGCTGCCAGGGGACACTGTGTTTTCAGTTGAGCCTGGGCTGCTGTAGATGGTGGTAGATTCCTCATTGAGGCCTGGCGTGGTGGTGCCGGCCGGAGACACTGTTGAGTGAGTTGAGCCCGAATGGCTATGGGAGGTGGTAGAATCTTCACTGACGCCAAGGCTTGTCGCACTGGCAGGTGAGAGTGTTGTGGTCAGTGATCTGGGGCTACTGTGTAAGGTGGTAGATGTCTCACTGAGGCCTGTTGTTGTGGTACTGCCAGGTAACATTGTTATTTCAGCTGCGCCTGGACTGATGGGTGAGATTGTAGATTCTCCACGACCTGAGGTTGTGGAGTGGGAGGGTGAGGGTGTTGTTCCAGTTGCATCTGGGCTGCTGTGGACTATTGTTGATTCCTCACTACGGCCCAAGCTTGTGGAGCTGACAGAAAAGAGGGTTGTTGGAGTTGAGCTCGGGCTTCTATGGTAGGATGTAGATACATCAACAAAGGCTGATGTGGTAGTAGGAGGTGCAGGCCTAGTGTCATTTGAGCTTGACCAGCTCAGCAAGGTGGCAGCTTCTCCATGACGGGTTGTAGAGCCGATAGGGGACAGTGTTGTGTGTGGTGAGCCAGTTCTGCTGTGGACGCGCGTAGATGCTTCAACGAGGCCTGAGGTTGTGGTGTTGTCAGGGAAGAGTGTGGTGTGAGTGAAGCCTGGGCTGCTATGGAAGGTTTTGGATTCTTGACCAAGAGATGATGCTGTGGTACTGCCAGGGGACAGTGTTGTGTCAGTTGAGCCTGGGCTGCTGTGGGAAGTTGTAGATTCCTGACTGAAGCCTGGTATGGTGGTGCTGTCAGGGAACGCCGTTGTGTGCATTGACCCTGGTCGGCTGAGGGAGGTGGTGGATTCTGTCGTGCTGCCAGGTGAGAGTGTTGTGTCTGGTGACCTGGGACTACTGTGGAAAGTGGTCGATTTCTCACTGAGGCCTGGTGTTGTGGTACTGTCTGGTAATATTGTTGTTTCCACTGAGCCTGAACTGATGGGTGAGGTTGTAGATTCTCCAACAAGAGCTGAGACCGTGGAACGGGTAGGTAAGAATGTGGTTTCCATTGTGTCTGGGCTGCTGTGGGATGTTGTTGATTCCTTACTATGGCCTGAGGTTGTGGAGCTGTCAGGGAAGTTTGTTGTTACAGTTGAGCCCGGGCTGCTGTCGGCGGTAGTAGATTCTTCAACAAGGGTAGTTGTGGTGCTGGGAGGTGAAGGTGCTGTGTGAATTGATCCTGGGGGAGTTTGGAAGGTGGTAAATTCTCCCTGAAGGCCTGGGCTTGTGGAGCTGGCAGGGGACAGTGTTGTGTGTCGTGATCCAGTGCTGCTGTGGATGGGAGTAGATGCTTCATCAAGGCCTGAGGTTGTAGTGTTTTTAGGTGAGACTGTGGTTTCAGTAGAGCGTGGGCTGCTGTGGAAGGTTGTGGATTCTTGACCAAGGGATGATGCTGTGGTCCTGCCAGGGAACAGTGTTGTGTCAGTTGAGCCTGGGCTGCTGTGGGAAGTTGTAGATTCCTGACTGAAGCCTGGTATGGTGGTGCTGTCAGGGAACGCCGTTGTGTGCGTTGACCCTGGTCGGCTGAGGGAGGTGGTGAATTCTTCACTGACACCTGAGCTTTTCGTGATGGCAGGTAAGCGTGTTGTGTCTGGTGATCTGGGGCTACTGTGGAAACTGGTGGATTTCTCACTGAGGCCTGGTGTTGTGGTACTGTCGGGTAATATTGTTGTTTCCACTGAGCCTGAACTCATGGGTGAGGTTGTAGATTCTCCAACAAGAACTGAGACTGTTGTGCGCGTGGGTAAGAATGTGGTTTCCATTGTGTCTGGGCTGCTGTGGGATGCTGTTGATTCCTCACTATGGCCTGAGGTTGTGGAGCTGTCAGGGAAGTGTGTTGTTGCAGTTGAGCCTGGGCTGCTGTCGTCGTTAGTAGATTCTTCAACAAGGGTAGTTGTGGTGCTAGGAGGTGAAGCTGCTGTGTGAGTTGAGCCTGGGTGGGTCTGGAAGGTGGTAGATTCTCCCTGAAAGTCTCCCTGAAGGCTTGTGGAGCTGGCAGGGTACAGTGTTGTGTGTCGTGAGCCAGTGCTGCTGTGGATGGGTGTAGATGCTTCTTCGAGGCCTGAGGTTATGGTGTTTTCAGGTGAGACTGTGGTTTCAGTGGAGCCTGGGCTGCTGTGGAAAGTTGTAAAATCTTGATCAAGGGATGACGTTGTGGTACTGCCAGGGGACAGTGTTGTGTCTGTTGAACTTTGACTGCTGTGGGAAGTTGTAGGTTCCTGACTGAGGCCTGACATGGTGGTGCTGTCAGGGAACGCTTTTGTGTGCTTTGAGCCTGGTTGACTAAGGATTGTGCTGGATTCTTCACTGACGCCTGAGCTTGTTGTGGTTGCAGGTGAGAGTGTTGCATCTGGTGATCTGGGGCTAGTGTAGAAGGTGGTAGATTTCTCACTGAGGCTTGGTGATGTGGTAATGCCAGGTAAAGTTATTGTATCAGTTGAGGTTGGACTCATGGGTGAGATTGTAGATTGTCCAACAAGGCCTGAGGTTGTGGAGCGGGCAGGTGAGAGTGTTGTTCCACTTGAGCTTGAGCTGCTGGGGAAGGTTGTTGGTTCCTCACCGAGGTCTGTGATTGTGAGAGTGGCAGGTAACACCGTTTGCATGGAGACAAGGCTGCCAGGGATGGCTGTGGATTCCTGAGTGAGTCCCAAGGTGGTGGTGTCCTCAGTGAACAGTGTTGTGTGAGTTGAGGCTAGCCGGTTGTGGAAGGTTGTGGATTCTTCTCCACTAATTGAGGTTGTGCTGCTGCCAGGGGACACTGTGGTTTCAGTTGAGCCTGGGCTGCTGTAGATGGTGGCAGATTCCTCACTGAGGCCTGGTGTGGTCGTGCTGGCCGGTGACACTGTTGAGTGAGTTGAGCCCGGTTGGCTATGGGAGGTGGTGGATTCTTCACCGATGCCTAGGCTTGTCATGCTGGCAGGTGAGAATGTTGTGGTCAGTGATCTGGGGCTACTGTGTAAGGTGGTAGATGTCTCACTGAGGCCTGTTGTTGTGATACTGCCAGGTAACATTTTTATTTCAGTTGTGCCTGACCTGATGGGTGAGATTGTAGATTCTCCATGACCTGAGATTGTGGAGTGGGTGGGTGAGGGTGTTGTTCCAATTGCATCTGGGCTGTTGTGGACTATTGTTGATTCCTCACTCTGGCCCAAGCTTGTGGAGCTGACAGAAAAGTGAGTTGTTGGCGTTGAGCTCGGGCTGCTTTGGTAGGATGTAGATACATCAACAAAGGTTGATGTGGTAGAAGGAGGTGCAGGTGTAGTGTCATTTGAGCCTGACCAGCTGGCAAGTGTGGTAGCTCCCCCCTGATGGGTTTTAGAGTCGACAGAGGACAGTGTTGTGTGTGTTGAGCCAGTCCTGCTGTGGATGGGCGTAGATGCTTCAACGAGGCCTGAGGTTGTGGTGTTGTCAGGGAAGAGTGTGGTGTGAGTGGAGCCTGGGCTGGTGTGGAAGATTGTGGATTCTTGACCAAGGGATGATGCTGTGGTCCTGCCAGGGAACAATGTTGTGTTTCTTGAGCCTGGGCTGCTGTGGGAAATTGTAGATTCCTGACTGAGGCCTGGTATGGTGGTGCTTTCAGGGAACACCGTTGTGTACATTGACCCTGGTTGGCTGAGGGAGGTGGTGGATTCTCCACTGACACCTGAGCTTCTCCTACTGCCAGGTGAGAGTGTTGTGTTTGATGATCTGGGGCTACTGTGCAAAGTGGTCGTTGTCTCACTGAGGCCTACTATTGTGTTACTGCTGGATAACATTGTTGTTTCCACTGAGCCTGAACTGATGGGTGAGGTTGTAGATTCTCCAAAAAGAACTGAGACCGTGGAGCGGGTGGATAAGAATGTAGTTTCCATTGCATCTGGGCTGTTGTGTGATGCTGTTGATTCCACACTATGGCCTGAGGTTGTGAAGCTGTCAGGGAAGTGTGTTGTTGCAGTTGAGCCCGGGCTGCTGTTGGCGGTAGTAGATTCTTCAACAAGTGTAGTTGTGGTGCTAGGAGGTGAAGGTGCTGTGTGAGTTGAGCCTAGGTGGGTCTGGAAGGTGGTAGATTCTCCCTGAAGGCCTCCCTGAGGGCTTGTGGAGCTGGCAGGGGACAGTGTTGTGTGTCGTGAGCCAGTGCTGCTGTGGATGGGTGTAGAGGCTTCATCGAGGCCTGAGGTTGTGGTGTTTTCAGGTGAGACTGTGGTTTCAGTGGAGCCTGGGCTGCTGGGGAAGGTTGTAAAATCTTGGTCAAGGGATGAGGCTGTGGTACTGCCAGGGGACAGTGCTGTGTCTGTTGAGCTTTGGCTGCTGTGGGAAGTTGTAGGTTCCTGACTGAGGCCTGACATGGTGGTGCTGTCGGGGAAGGCTGTTGTGTGCTTTGAGCCTGGTTGACTAAGGGATGTGCTGGATTCTTCACTGACGCCTGAGCTTGTTGTGGTTGCAGGTGAGAGTGTTGCATCTGGTGATCTGAGGCTAGCGTAGAAGGTGGTAGATTTCTCACTGAGGCTTGGTGATGTGGTAATGCCAGATAAAGTTGTTGTTGTATTAGTTGAGGTTGGACTCATGGGTGAGGTTGTAGATTGTCCAACAAGGCCTGTGGTTGTGGAGCGGGCAGGTGACAGTGTTGTTTCACTTGAGCCTGAGGTGCTGAGGAAGGTTGTTGTTTCCTCACCGAGGTCTGTGGTTGTGAGAGTGGCAGGTAACACCGTTTGGGTGGAGACAAGGCTGCCGGGGAAGGCTGTAGATTTCGCAGTGTGTCCCAAGGTGGTGGTGACCTCAGTGAACAGTGTTGTGTGAGTTGATGCTGGCAGGCTGTGGAAGGTTGTGGATTCTTCCCCACGAATTGAGGTTGTGCTGCTGCCAGGGGACACTGTGGTTTCAGTTGAGCCTGGGCTACTGTAGATGGTGCTAGATTCCTCACTGAGGCCTGGCATGGTGGTGCTGGCTGGTGACACTGTTGAGTGAGTTGAGCCCGGTTGGCTATGGGAGGTGGTGGATTCTTCACTGACGCCTAGGCTTGTCATGCTGGTATGTGAGAGTGTTGTGGTCAGTGATCTGGGGCTACTGTGTAAGGTGGTAGATGTCTCACTGAGGCCTGTTGTTGTGGTACTGCCAGGTAATGTTGTTATTTCAGCTGCGACTGGACTGATCGGTGAGATTGTAGATTCTCCACGACCTGAGGCTGTGGAGTGGGCGAGTGAGGCTGTTGTTCCAGTTGCATCTGGGCTGCTGTGGACTATTGTTGATTCCTCACTACGGCGCAAGCTTGTGGAGCCTCGAGAGAAGTGGGTTGTTGGAGTTGAGCTCAGGCTGCTTTGGTAGGATGTAGATACATCGACAAAGGCTGATGTGATAGTAGGAGGTGTGGGCGTAGTGTCATTTGAGCTTGACCAGCTCATGAGGGTGGTAGGTTCCCCCTGATGGGTTGTAGATCGGACAGAGGACAGTGTTTTGTATGGTGAACCAGTGCTGCTGTGGACGGGTGTAGATGCTTCAAGGAGGCCTGAGGTTGTGGAGTTGTCAGGGTAGAGTGTGGTATGAGTGGAGCCTGGGCTGCTGTGGAAGGTTGTGGATTCTTGACCAAGGGATGGTGCTGTGGTCCTGCCAGGGAATAGTGTTGTGTCTGTTGAGCCTGGGCTGCTGTGGGAAGTTGTCGATTCCTGACTGTGGCCTGGTATGGTGGTGCTGTCAGGGAACGCCATTGTGTGCGTTGACCCCGGTCGGCTGAGGGAGGTGGTGGATTCTTCACTGACAGATGAGCTTGTCGTGCTGGCAGGTGAGAGTGTTGTGTCTGGTGATCTGGGGCTACTGTGGAAAGTGGTCGATTTGTCCCTGAGGCCTGGTGTTGTGGTACTGCTGGGTAACATTGTTGTTTCCACTGAGCCTGAACTGATGGGTGAGGTTGTAGATTCTCTAAGCAGAGCTGAGACCGTGGAGCGGTTGGGTAAGAATGTGGTTTCCATTGCGTCTGGGCTGCTGTGGGATGCTGTTGATTCCTCACTATGGCCTGAGGTTGTGGAGCTGTCAGGGAAGTGTTTTGTTGCAGGAGAGCCCAGGTTACTGTGGTAACTTGAAGATTCTTTAACAAGGGCAGATGTGGTTCTAGGAGGTGATGGTGTGTGAGTTGTGCTGCTGTAGGAAGTTGTTGATTCTTCACTGCGTCCTGAGGTTGTAGTGCTTTCAGGGAAGAGTGTTGTCTCCGTTGAGCCTGGACTGCTGTGGGAAGTTGTTGATTTTTCACTGAGGCCTAACGTTGTGGTGCTGGTCAGTAACAGCGTTGTGTGCACTGAGTCTGGCATGCTGGGGATGGTTGTAGGCTTCTCACTGAGCCCTGAAGTTGTAGCACTGGCAGGTAACAGTGTTGTGTGCATTGAGCCTGGTCGGCTGTGGGATGTGGTGAGTTCTTCCCTGATGCCTGAGCTTGTCTTGCTGGCAGGGGAAAGTGTTGTGTCTGCTGCTCTGGGGCTACCGTAGATGGTGGTAGGTTTCTTACTGAGGCCTGGTGTTGTGGTACTGCCACTTAACATTGCTGTTTCCGTTGAGCCTGAAGTGATGGGTGATACTGTGTATTCTCCAAGAACTGAGGTTGTGGAGCGGGTAGGTAAGAGTGTTGTTCCAGTTCCATCTGCGCTGCTGTGGACTTTTGTTGATTCCTCACCATGGTCCAAGGTTTCTGAGCTGGCAGAAAATTGTGTTGTTGTAATTGAGTTCTGTCTGCTGTGGTAGGTTGTAGATACTTCAACAGGGGCTGATGTGGTGCTAGGATATGAAGGTGTTGTGTCATTTGAGCTTGGCCAGCTCTGGAAAGTTCCAGATTCTTCCTGAAGGCCAGCGCTTGTGGAACTGGCAGGGGACAGTGTTGTGTGTGTTGAACCAGTGCTGTTGTGGACGTGTTTAGATGTTTCAGTGATGCCTGAGCTTGTGGTGCTGTGAGGGAAGAGTGTTGTGTGACTGGAGCCTTGGCTGCTGTGGAAGGTTGTATATTTCGAGCCCTCTGAGATGGTGGCAGAGACAATGGGTTTTACAGTAGTAAATTTGGTGGATATCCCATAGCCACTAAAAGTGGTAAAAGAGTCACTTGAACTGGGTGTGGATGCAGAACTTGTATTATCTTCAATACTAGTGCTTTCTGTTGAGCCTGTGAGTTGAGAGAAACCAGAGAAAGTGCTATGATTTATGACTGTCTCCTACAGTAGCCCCAGATCACCAGACAGATGTGGTGCTAGTCAACTCTGACACATCCAGGCTGAAAGATACCTGGTCACCTCGTGATATTGAAGCTCAAGTCCCTCTTTCAGGGGCATAGGAAGGGTCGAGTAAACCTGTAGATTTGAAGAAATCTCACTGGTGGTGTAGACTAGCAGTCCCCAACCTTTTTGGCACCAGGAACCGATTTCATGGAAGACAATTTTTCCAAGGACTGGGACTGGGGGCTGTTGGGGGATGGTTCCAGGATGATTCAAGCACATTACATTTACCATTAGATTCTCATAAGGAGGATGCATGCACAGTTCACAATAGGGTTAGAGCTCAGCTTTGCTGGCCCGTTGCTCACTTCTTGCTGTGAGTCCTAGTTCCTAACAGGCCACGGACCTGTTCTGGTCTGGGGCCAGGGGGTTGGGGACCCCTTGTGTAGACCCTTGTGTCTTCTGTGGAATATAACCGTTTGGCTAGTGGGCAAGGTGTCACTAGATAATTTTCTGAGTCTTGACTGTAATTTGTAACTTGAATTTTTAGGGCCGGGTGCGGTGGCTTATGCCTGTAATCCCAACACTTTGGGAGGCCAAGACGGGTGGATCACTTGCGGTCAGGAGTTCGAGACCAGTTTGGCCAACAGAGTGAAATCCCATCTCTACTAAAAATACAAAAAAACTTGCCAGGTGTGGTGGTGCACACCTGTTATCCCAGCTACTTGGGAGGCTAGGGCACGAGAATCACTTGAACCCAGGAGGTGGAGGTTGCAGTGAGCTGAGATCATGACACTGCACTCCAGCCTGGTGACAGAGTGAGACATCGTCTCAAAAAAAAAGAAGAAGAAGAAGGAACTTGAATTGTTAGTAGTGTGGCTCTGGGTTTTGACATCTGTATAGTGGTGGAGAACTGTACTTATATGCCTCTGTCCAGTATTACCTGCTGTTTCCACCCTAGCCACACTGGGACATGTTCATCTATCAAGGTGCTCAGGCATCAACTCCAGCAGAAGGTTGTACTCCCACAAATGCCCCCACACACATTCCTTCTGTACCTCACATTCTGCGTTTTGCAGACCTTATATTGTCTGGCTTACACATTGTACTTGTCCATTTTCACACTGCTGATAAAAACATACCCAAGGCCAGGTGTGGTGGTTCATGCCTGTAATCCTAGCACTTTGGGAGGCCGAGGTGGCAGATCACTTGAAGTCAGGAGTTCGAAACAAGCCTAGGCATCAATGTGAAACCCAGTCTCTACTAAAAGTACAAAAATTAGCCAGGTGTTGTGGCAGCCACCTGTAATCCCAGCTACTTGGGAGGCTGAGGCAGGAGAATCACTTGAACCCGGGAGGCAGAGGTTGCAGTGAGCTGAGATCGCACCACTGCTGTCCAACCTGGGTGACAGAGCGAGACTCTGTCTCAAAAAACAGAAGAGGAAGAGGAAGAGGAAGAAGAAAGAAGAAGAAGAGGAAGAAGAAGGAGGAGGAGGAGGAGGAAAGGAGGAGGGAGAGGAGGAGGAGGAAGAGAAGGAAAAAGAGTAGGAGGAGGAGGAGGAAGAGAAAGACATACCAGAGACTGGGTAATTTATACAGAACAAATGGTTTAATGAACTCACAGTTCCACATGGCTGGGGAGGCCTCACAATCATAGTGGAAGGTGAAAGGCACATCTTACATGGCAGCAGGCAAGAGAGAGGATGAGAGTCAAGTGAAAGGGGTTTCCCCTGATAAAACCATCAGATCTCGTGAGACTTACTTATTCATTACCACAAGAACAGTATGAGGGAACCTGCCCCCATGATTCAGTTGTCTCCCACTGGGTCCTTCCCACAACACATGGGAATTATGGGAGCTAAAATTCAAGATGAGATTTGGGTGGGGACACAGCCAAACCATATCACACATGATCTGACAAGTCTCTCTTCCTCATCCTTGACATCTGAGAGACCCCTTTGACCTCTAACTCTGTAGCTGCCAACCCAGGAAAAACAGAAGAGCTAAGGCAGTCACCCATTCCATGGACAATTCTCTCTGTCCTTTCTCTCCAGATGCATTACATACACAAGAGCTAGCCACCTGTATTAGGCCTTTCTTGCATTGCTATAAAGAAATACCTGAGCCTGGGTCATTTATAAAGAAAAGAGGTCTAATTGACTCACAGTTCTACAGGCCATACAAGAAGGATGGTGCTGATGTTTGCTTCTAGGGAGGTTTCAGGAAACTTCCAATCATGGCAGAAGGTGAAGGGAGAGCAGGCTGGTCACATGGCAAAAGCAGAAGCAAGAGAGAGGCAAAGGGTGTAGGGGAGGGACCACACACATTTCTTTTTTCTTTCTTTTTTTTTTTTTTTTTGAGACAGCCTGTCATCCAGTCTGGAGTGCATTGGCGCAATCTCGGGTCATTGCAAACTCCGGCTCCTGGGTTCAAGTGATTCTCCTGACTCAGCCTCCCGAGTAGCTGGGATTACAGGTGCCCACCACTGCACCTGACTAATTTCTGTATTTTTAGTAGAGACAGAGTTTCACCATGACGGCCAGGCAGATATCGAACTCCTGACCTCAAATGATCTGCCCACCTTGGCCTCCCAAAGTGCTGGGATTGCAGGTGTGAGCCACCAAACCCAGCCAATGCCACATGCTTCTTTTCTTTTTTCTTTTTTTTTTTTCCAGATGTAGTTCCGCTCTTGTTGCCCAGGCTGGAGTTCAATGGCGCGATCTTGGCTCACCGCAACCTCTGCCTCCTGGGTTCAAGCGATTCTCCTGCCTCAGCCTCCCAAGTAGCTGGGATTACAGGCATCCACCATGCCCAGATAATTTTGTATTTTTAGTAAAGACGGGTTTTCTCCATGTTGGTCAGGCTGGTCTCAAACTCCCGACCTCAGGTGATCTCCTTGCCTTGGCCTCCCAAAGTGCTGGGATTACAGGCGTGAGCCACTGTGCCCGGCCCACACACTTCTAATTTTGTATTTTTAGTAAAGACGGGTTTTCTCCATGTTGGTCAGGCTGGTCTCAAACTCCCGACCTCAGGTGATCTCCTTGCCTTGGCCTCCCAAAGTGCTGGGATTACAGGCGTGAGCCACTGTGCCCGGCCCACACACTTCTAAAAGACCAGATCTTGTGTGAACTCAGAATGAGAGCTCATTCATAACCAAGGGGATGGTCCAAGCCATTCAACAGGGATCTGCCCCCAATAATCCAAACACCTCCCACCAGGCCCCACCTGCAACACTGGGGATTACAACTCAACATGAGATTTGGATGAGGACAAATATTCAAGGACTGTCATCACTTTTCTTGGAACACTGCCACATCTACCTGGTCATCCTGCAGCCCTCGTAGCCTGCCCAGGGAGCACCTCCTCCACCCTGGTTCAGGCCCACTCGAAGGGCTACAACTGTAAAAAAAAAAAAAATCATTAGCTAGTCTGGGTGCAGTGACTCACACCCGTAATCCCAGCACTTTGGGAGGCTGAGGCAGGCAAATCACTTGAGGTCGGGAGTCCAAGACCAGCCTGGCCAACACAGCAAAACCCCATCTCTACTAAAAATACAAAAATTAACCAGTCATGATGGCATGTGCCTGCAATCCCAGCTACTTGGGAGGCTGAGACAGGAGGGTCTCTTGAACCAGGGAGGCAGAGGTTGCAGTGAGCCAAGATCGCACCATTGCACTCCAGCCTGGGTGACAGAGTGAGACTACATCTCAAAAACAAAGCATTATCTTGGCCCTGGGCTGGAGGAGCTACTGTATCTTCTCTGTGCTACTTAGAACATGTGACAGTACATGTAGAATTCCATTTTCCTATGTAAAACAGACATATAATTCCTGGCTTTCTTCATCCTGCCTATGAAATGAATCAGATTGTATATGCACAGAATCTGTGACAGTAGTGCCATCAGCCCACGAGTTATTAGGAATTCTACAGGATGATGTATAAGGGACTTCCTTGAGAGGACAGGGTGTATGGCCTTTTGTCCCATCTGTCAATCTCCAAGATGCCGGGAGCTGCATTCTTCTCACTTGTCTCAGGAAGGCCAACCTTGGCCCCTTGCAGAGGAGACAGTTCAGTCCACCAGAGCAGAGGCACTCTCCACCATCCCAGATGGCCCCAGTTTTACAGAGTCACGAAAGAGACACATAATCACAGGGAGAGGCTAGGAGCTGGACCAGGACGGAAGGCCGGGGTGGAGGGGTAGACAGAGCACTATCAAATCATTGATCAATGCAGTTCAGGTCAAAGGCAATAATGCCTAAGATTTTTTGGAATTCTAACTTCATGGAAAAGATTGAAAAGATGGCTTGGTGTTTGGGGGAGATTTTTGGATTCTGTTGGCTTTTTTTTTTTTTTCTTCCACAGGGTCTCACTCTGTTACCTAGGCTGGGGATTACAGTTCAACATGAGATCTGGGAAGGGATAAATATTCAAACTATATCACCATCCTACTTCTAGGCTGGAGTCACTGCAGCCCCAAACTCCCAGGCTGGAGTGATCCTCCTGCCTCGGCCTCCCAAATGGTTGGTGCTACAGGGGCGTGCCACCATGTGCCGCTAATTTTAAAAATTTGTTTTTTTAGAGATGGGGTTTTGCTATGTTGCCCAGGCCAGTCTCAAACTTCTGGCCTCAAGTGATTCTCCCACCTCGGCCTCCTAAAGTGCTGGGATTACAGGCTTGAGGCACACACCAGCCACGTGTTTGTTTTGAAGTCAGTGGACATTTGAGGTTTTGCCCGATCCTCTCATTTATGAGCTAGGTTTTGTCTAGTTCAACCTGATGGTAGTGGAAGGGCTGAGCTCCAGGGACTGCCAAGGTGGAGGTGGAGCATCCCTGAACCCTGAGTACAAGGGTCAGAGAGGATGGCGGGGCATAGGCAGGCACCAAAGTGGAGGGTGGCAGGGCTCAAAACAGGCTCACGAGGTGTTCCTTCCCATAGACTTCCTCCCTCACTT